GCCAATTGCGCATGCTCCGAGCGGAAATGCGATGATTGAAAAAGGAGATGGTTGGAAAATATTTATATATCCTCGTAGAAAGATTTTCAATTGGATATAAAATCCAACTTTTACAAATATAAAGTGAAGGTGATCACACACACACACACACACACACACACACACACACACACACATTTATATATATATATATATATATATATATATATATATATATATAGAGAGAAGGCGATCTAATAGCAAAAATGATATATAACACTGAGTATACTGGCGTCGCACATAAACGCACATCATGTCATAAACGCTCACGACTCCGTGCAGTTTGAAATTAGAGGGAGTAAAAAAATAAACAAACCTAAAAATATTTTTATATATTTATAGTGTTCCGAGCTAAAATTAAACACCTTAAAAGCACGCACAGATTATTCTTATGTTGATCTATGCTTTATTTTTACGTGAAAAAGTTCATATAACTGGGAAAACCTGTGAAATTAGAATAATAGCAAATGGTCTGCCGTATTTACTTAACATCAGGCGTCATTTAAACACAAAAACACACATGCATATTTTGTCGTTAAATATGTGTCTTATGCATTGATCAAAATTTCTTTCATACGATTCATCCTACACTATTATATCACAATATTCATAAGTTAGTATTCATACAAAATACAAATTTTATAGTAACCTAATTATGACCAATAATGGATCATATGCAATATAGAAAGAAAAATTGAAAATAAAGACAATATGATACAAATTAGAGACATGTCATAATAGATCATTCCATCTTAAAAAAAATCAAAAAAATTTAAAACCAAACTTAAGACCTCCTACTTAATATCTTTTTTATCCAAAATTTTTAATATTTTTTTTTTTTTCCGACAAAGAGTCCAAACTTGTCAACAATATTCTCGCTCACAACACATATGTTTTTCAAGAACTCTTCTTGATATATAAAATTCATATAAAATACCAATTTTATAGTAAACTAATTATATCCAATAAGGGATCATATACAATATAGAAAGTAAAATTGGAAATAAAGACAATATAATACAAATTAAAGACATGTCCTAAAATATTATTACATCTTAGATAAATCAACAATGTTTAAAACCAAACTTGAGATTTTTGTTGTTAAAGTGTTGAATGATTTGAACACATTCAAAACATGGTCCAAAATAGTGAATTATATATATATATATATATATATATATATATATATATATATATATATATATATATGTTGTGGTAGGATCCACCTAATTTGCATAGTGGAGTACCGACCATATAAATATGGTTGGTACCGGGAAGAGAGTGGGGAATCAAGAGATTCAACCAGAGACTCTGCCCGACTGCGACTCAGTCAACAGATTCTCCAGGAACGGTCTTACCAGGAATATACAAAAGACTATATGTAAATATTGTGTACACTTTCTTGTTTCAATACATTTTGTTCTAAGTACATTTTGTGTTGCATTATTATTCCATGCATTAGTCAAGTTTCAACAATATATATATTGTCGAGACTTAGCATGAGCAAAATATATTAACGGATTTGAACAAAAAGAAAAAAGACCACAGAATAACGTCAAAATCCGAGAAAATGTTCATCCTTTAATAGAAAGTTGTGCTTAGTTTAATTTGCAAACTATCTAAATGAAGATTTAAAGAAACATATATTTATAAGATAGAACATGTCACAAGGCCCTGCCTGGAGGCCCCCTTTAAAATCTTGCCCCACCCATATAATTCGCTTTCATAAATAGAACACAATATATATATATATATATATATATATATATATATATATATATATATATATATATTATATATAAACGTGCAATCAATTTACAAATTCATGAATTATTCACACAAAACTAATGCAAAGGTTAATGATTTAAATGGCGAGACATCCATCATCGCAAACAATTCAAATAATATACAAAAACCTCCGAATCCGTTATGAATGAAATGATCCTTGTTTATATAAATTTCTGCCGTATTAGTTCTTATTTTTACTACAAGCTTTCGTCTGTTCCTACAGACATCTTCAGGTATAGAATAGATGTTGTTCTTGTTTTTTTCTCTTAGTAATAAGAGGACAACGAAAATATATGTATTGTTGTATCCGAAAATGCTATTGAAAATGAGTTATTGTTTTTGGAGCGCGCAGTAGCAACGCTGAGTTTGATTTTAAATTTTTAAAGGTTGTGCGTTCATATAAAATATGGTGATGAACAAATTTTTTTTACTGATAAATTTTCTGTCAAAGTGGCATGAACTATATTGTTCAATAATTACAGTAATGTCGCACTTATTATCCAAAAGTCGCACTTGGATCAGTTATTTAAATTACGATAAACGTGCAATCAATTTACAAATTCATGAATTATTCACACAAAAACTAATGCAAAGGTTAATGATTTAAATGGCGAGACATCCATCATTATAAACAATCTATAATTCAAATAATATTACAAAACCCTCCGAATCCGTTATGAATGAAATGATCCTTGTTTATATAAATTTGTTTTAACTATTTTATATATTAAATATTTTATTTTTAATATTTCATATAGGTTTTTTAAACAATACACGGATAAAACAATAATTATAGTCTGTTTATCTAAATAATATAATGGAAAAATAAAAAAACAAACTATATATAGATACATAGACACTTAAATATATATAAATCATTTATATGCTCATTAATATTATGAAAAATATGACTAAAAGAGTGAAAACGAAAGTATTAAATATGGGAAGATGTTGGTAAACCAATGGATAAAAATATATATTATTATTTACATTTAAGAATTTATATATTTATGATTTTTATATTTTATATTTTTTAAGAGGTTTGGTTTCAACTGTTTTATGTATATAGCTATCAATAATTTTTAGTTTTTGTTTATTGTTTTCATGTTTAAGTATAGTTGTATTTCATTTTTAAAATATTTCCGGAATTTGTACATCCCCTAGGCATGTTGTTTTAAATATTTAAAATGTTACATAATATTTATTTAAATCACAATTTCAACGTTGTAAAATAATGAGAGTTTATCATGTGATCAAATTTTAAATATTATTTAATCCGTTGGAGATACAATCTCCAAAATTTTCATATGTTTGTAAATATATATATATATATATATATATATATATATATATATATATATATATATATATATATATACAGTAAAATACCAGATCACCTCATATGGGGAATAAGCTTATTTCAACCGACGAATGTCGTGAATCTTATTCAACTATGAATTATGGTGATGAATTATACCCTATACCGTATTTCCCACAGAAAATATATCGCTACTCTAACTCTAGTTTCATGGCAAATGTTCAAACAATTTTTATACGTTGTTTCCACCTGTTCAGACCTTCACATCTAAGACACGCCGTACCATGTACACCGCGTCAAGTCTCCCCATTCTCTCCGTATTCTTTTGATCAGGAGGAAGTTTCACTTGAACATTTCTCTTCCCCAACACTGTCACTTTGGGAAACCAAATCCCGAAAGGTTACTTTCTCGAACACTGTAACCTTAAAATCTGCAAGTCTAATGTCAACCGGTATCTATCATATATATCCTAATAATATGCAACTTACCCTCTTCTTATTACGCGCTTAAAACGTTCGCCACTACCTTAAATGGCTCTTGGGTCTAGTATTAGGCTAACAAAGAAAGAGATCGTAACTAACGATCTTAGGAGATTAAGTGAGAATTGAATGATGACTTCCTCACAGTCTTTGATAAAAATGAATTATGTAACCTTTCTTTGTTTGCATTTTATGCACTACCAGAAAGCGGTAAGATTTGACGAGTAAAAATTGGCGAAAATCTCATAACCTTTTCAGATTATATTTTTTAGTGGGTTAAGAAGTGACATGGAGAATTTTCTTTTGCGAATCCGCAGGGGAAATGAATGCTTTTCCATTCGAGAAATGACTTATATTCAAACCCAAGTTTCATGGTCAGAAAGCGAACGTCCATACCATACATACCTACATTTTATGCATAAAAATCATAGTAACCTTCATAATGTTGGATTAAGTCGTATAGTGCCAAAGAAGGGAAGTGTAGCGGCTGATCTATTTTATTCAGAGTAAACACTGCCTACCTTGTCTACCTAAACGATACGTTCCTAGTATATATCCAGAAACACATTTTAAGCAATGTTGAGTCTAGTCATTGCCTGAATGAGTGACATTTCAGCACAGTAAGTTTCGATGTGCGGATGGTTTAATGGATAATGGCTCAGAATGTGAGCTGAGTTCGAATTCCAATCGGGTTCATTATATACAATTACGTTCAAATACTTAATCGAATATAATGAATCTACCTCTTCTCGTTCCACCTTTGCGTTAAATTCTATGACTTTTATAAGAAAATCAATATTATCCACCCAAATTTCTTTTGACTTTGACTAACCTCAAAAAGGTTGATATACCGTAAAAACCAAATCAAGCAACAAAAACATACGCACGCAGAAACATACACACACACACAAACAAACACGCAGAGACACTATCTACAAAGTAGTGCTGAGAATAGCATGGTCATAATCCAACGTTTCAACGTAATGTCACCGTAAGCCTTAAGATAAATAAGTAAGTAATAAGTTGATTTACTATATTCAATTTTCTTTATTTTAATATAATTTTCATGCTGTTTATATCCATCGAAGTCTGGTCACATCTATCTATCTATCTATCTATCTATCTATCTATCTATATATATATATATATATATATATATATATATATATATATATATATAAATCTATTGACATCTATCTATCTTAGTCTGTTCATAATCTCAAACTCTCTATCAAATCTACATATGTGAATATGTATCAACTATCAACATATGGAAACATCTATCTATCTATCTATCTATCTATCTATATATATATATATATATATATATATATATATATATATATATAGATATATATATATGATTTCACATATAGAATATATATGATATTCTTCAAATCTCTATCCTTCTATGTATCTATCTATCTATCTACCTACCTATTTATCTACATATTTGTGTATGTTCCTATCTATCTATCTATCTATCTATCTATCTATCTATCTATCTATCTAAATCTATTGACTATCTATTTATCCCCCTCTCTCTCTCTCTCTAAATCTATATATATATATATATATATATATATATATATATATATATATATATTAGTAAAAATAAGCTAATTGAAAAATGTTTATTAAAATGAATCTAAACATTAGTTTTTCATTCATGAGCTATATGGATAAAACTATGAACTCTAACAATTGCAAAATCGCTAGGGAATCTCACGATCTCTAAAAAAAGATTTATTAATGATAACCAATTGAAAAAAAAATCTACCTGTAATTGCAGAGCAAGATTATGATTGTCCAGTATTTTAGAATATATGCATCACAGAAAAAAAGATGAGACAAAGCCAAATTTCCCCAAGGAAAATGTAAAACAAAAAAAGATATATATAGGAATATCTGCGGGAAATTGGAAACTGCGTTTTAACAACCATCGCCATTCTTTTACAAATGAATCCCAAAGACAAACCCTTAACCCTTATTAACGATATTAAAAATATTAAAATTAAGAATATTAAAAATATATTTTTAAATCTAAACACTTAATTCATTATCTAACGTTAACTGTAAAATTTAATAAAAAAAAAAATCTGTATAAAGATGGATGCGTGTAGAAATATGTATAGGTATATGTAAATATTTGTATATGTATGTGCGTGTATACCGATGTTTATCGATACATGTTTATGTGGTTATATATGTAATTATACATGTATATGAATATATGTGGATGTATTTACGTAAATATGTATGTGGTGTGTGTATGTAAAAACGGTAATTTTTTTTTTACTATTACCTTCAAATCTTACTCTATCTTGATTTGAAACTTAAACTTTAATTAAGAAATATTACCCATCTAAAAATAGCTTCAGATTAAATTGATAAATTTGACTCTAACTAATAAAGATTTTACCTTAACAGTCATTCACAATATTAAAATATTAGTACATTTTTATTTTTTATATTTGTTTATTAATATAATATTCAGTTTATATTAAATCCCTAATTCATTTGTGGAGAATTTAAATATTTAAATTGCTAGCAAGCATTAAATCTAATTTATTTGTGGAGTTTTTAAACATTTATATTACTATCAAAAGTTAAGATCTGTGTTTATCTAAATTGCTAAACCTACACCTTTCTCTAAACCTTTCTCCTTACTCCAAAACCCTACCTCCATCTATTATTTCTTATCTCTTTACTTCCCCATTTTTTCTTTTCCTCTTTTCTCTTTTTCTTTTCTTCTTTTTTTCCCATATCATTTCCGGTGCGTTGACCGATTAAATAGCTCAATGTCTGATCCTTACTACTCCTCCTGAATATTAAGTATTGAAATAAAAATAAATTTTAAAACTCTCCCTTCCGTCTCTAAACTCAAGCATATCTCTCACACTATTCTTCACCACCCTCTATGTTCACCTTATATAAGCTTAATACTTCCCTTCAAAATTGTAAATTTTAAATTTATTTTTTCAACTTTGAATGTGAAGTCTAAACATCTAGAGAAAGATAAAATCTCTTGTGAAATAAATTATAACCAATGAAACCTTAAAGCGTTCGGTTTTTTCTTTAAATTAATATATATAAATCTGTTGACATCTATCTAAATTTCTTGACATCGATCTATCTATCTTAGTCTGTTCATATCTCACTCTCTCTATCAGCTATCTACATATGTAATTATGTTCCTATCTATCTATCAACTATCTACATATGTGAATATCTCTCTATCTATCCATTTATCTATCTATATATCTGAGTCTCCTCACATCTCTGTCTATATGTATGTATCTATCTATGTACATATTTGAGTATCTATCTATCTATCAAAATCTGTTGACATCTATCTGTTTATCTAAATCTGGTGACATCTATCAATCTATCTATATATTTGAGTGTGTTCCTATTTATCTATATGTTTATCTATCTATCTATCTATCTATCTATCTATCTATCTATCTATCTATCTATTTGAGTGTGTTCCTATTTATCTATCTATCTATCTATCTATCTATCTATCTATCTATCTATCTCTAACATTTTAGCTTTACACGAACAAGAAATAAATTCTTGCCGAAAAAAACGCCAAGGAGAATAAAAGGCTATAACCGTGGAAATGGCGGTGGCTTTAAAATCCATGAATTTAAGCTCATGTTTTAACATTCGCTGGTAATGTCCACGATGACAAGCTACGCGCGTTTGGGATCACGGTCGTCATCGTTTTTGATAGATGGTAGGGTCCTAGGGAACGGGCAGGCGTTGACGGACCGTACGCAGTGGGATGGCGGTCAGAGGCGCCATTTGTGGCACCATCATCCGTGAAGGGAATAAATCCACAGAAAGTTGAAGCTTGTGTATTCAGGACAGTTTTCCCGCGCTTTCTAATGTCAGAATTCGTGGCGCCAACCAGATAAAGTTGGCAGGCGAGGAAATAAATAGAAAAAGAAGGAAAAAAGGGGGATTTGTGTTTATGTTTTTGTTTATGCGTATTTTGTGGCGAGACAAGAAGCACGTGGGAAAGTTAGTCTCTAATTTTCAAACAAATTTTTTTTTTTTTTTCTTTCTCAAAATATTTTGTTAATATGCCGGAAGTTGTTGGTTGATATTCTGTATTGGTTCCATATTTTATATCTTAAGTGGATCATTACAGAATGTCTTATGTGTGTTTATAGGATGTTTGATTGTACCCGAAACAAAACTGAAGAATGTGGAGATAAAGTGTTATTAACAACGCCTTTAACCCACAGCGTCTGCTCTTTCTGACTTCCTCAGGTTAGAATGAAAGAAAGACAAAACTGAATGTAAAGAATATGCTTAGGATCATAAACCATTTAGATTAGATTGCTTATCATCTCCAAGAGTGTCTGACCGCAAGTTATTTTGTTAGTTTCTTTATCTATATTCAGAGGTGTTTAATGTTCGTGGATTTTATATCAGTACACATAAACTAGAGAGTTTTTATTATATATACTGTAAACAAAGACCAGTACCTGATGATTGCATTAATAGAATGAAACTCCGAGTGGTAATGGCGGCGTAGGTCACTATGTATTTTTAATAATATATATATTTAATAGCACGGTGGAGTAATAGATAGCGTCTCGTAATTGAGAGCCGAGTTCGAATTCCAGTCGAATCTATCACATTAATTTTCGTGCTAATATCCTTGGGAAAGGTATGAATCCGACTTTTTTCCCCGCAGCTATGGGTAAATAGCAGGACAGACTGGGTTCTGTAACCTTGGGTGGCAACCAGTCTAGGAGAAGGAAAAACTCTGAATTCAAAACCGGCCTGGAGAGGGTTGAGACCCGTCAGGTTATAATGCCCAAGAAACACAACTTCTACTGTGGGTGCAGTACACCTGGTGCCCCTACGACCTCCACGGATCACGGGATAAAAAAATTAAGAGCACTGTTATTTAGCAGTTCTATTTTCCCTAGACCAAAGAATATATGTGAACACGTACATTTGTTTGTATTTGTTCATTTCATTATATATATATATATATATATATATATATATATATATATATATATATATATATGTTTGTGCATGTGTGTGTGGGGAGAACATACATACACACCCAGCCAGGCATGTGCATAAATTAGAACCTTTTTTTATACTTGTATATACATGTACACGTACACAAGCCCACTAATATATAATTGTGCTTACACAAACACAGTCACCAACATATACACCATTGAGCCATTTTTATGTAAGCTTTTACAACTCTTCCTTATACACGCACATTTATATTGATGCACATCCAAATATAAACAAAATGACGTCACACATTATGAAATGGACAAAGTCCGACAATTTTTTGAAGACATTTTTATGTTTATACCTTCTTTTTTATAGATACAAATATTTAAGTAAATGCTCTGTTTATAATAAACATTAGTAAGAGCATTTACCGGCCTGAACATCTGAGAAATAGTTATAGAAAATATATGACCGATACGAATGTACATGAGAAAATCATGAAAAATTGTAGTTTAAAAACAGTAAAATCGACCATGCTAACCGAGACGCTCCTCTGTGGCGAAATTGATAAAAGCACGTCAGGCTATATGACGGTTCCGTATACAATACAGGTTCGATTCCTGTCGGAGGACGAATATTTTCTATGAAAATTCTCGGACATTCAGGCGGGTAAATGTTATTAATACCGTTTATTATAAACAGAGGATTTACTTAAATATTTGCATCTATAAAAAGAACGTATAAACATAAAACAAATATTTCAAATAATTGTCGAGCTGTGTCCATTTCAAAACATATATATATATATATATATATATATATATATATATAGATAGATAGATAGATTAAACAGTCAAAACATGAAGAGAAACGGACAACAGTTGTATAGATCTCCTTGAAAAAAGGCTAATGAAGTTGCTGAAAGTGGTTTTGTGGCGGAAAAGATTTATTCTCACCAAAGATCTTAGAAACCTTAAGGCGAGATTTTTAAGATTAAACCTTAAGGCAAGATTTTTAAGATTAAACCTTAAGGCGAGATTTTTAAGATTAAACCTTAAGGCGAGATTTTTAAGATTAAAACTTAAGGCGAGATTTTTAAGATTAAACCTTAAGGCGAGACTTTTAAGATTAAACCTTAAGGCGAGATTTTTTTCGCTTTTTGTTATGCCGCTAACTTTCTCATTTTCGTTTAATCATGAGTTAGTCATATGAGATATTTTGTTACCCCCATTTTTTTTAAGTAATTCCTATTTGGTAACTAGTTTCTTTTGAAACCTCACACGTCTCCCCTGACCCAGGAAATGTCTGTAGAACACGGTTCGGTTGTCATGGGCAACAGACGTCAGAGGACTCTCCATTTTCAGAAACCCGATGTGCCTAACCCCAAGTTAAAGTAAATACTTCAGGGCTTCTCGGTTTTGGCATATCCGAATTGCCAAACTCGCTATTCTTGAAGATTTATTAAAAAAAAATATACTAATAAATTTTGGTGTTGACTGTAAGGATTGACAATACGAAAGTAAATTCTCAAGTAAGGGGAGATTGTCATGTGCTGATA